GCCGCGGGGCCAGGCCCTGGGGCGGCGGAAGCCCGGCTCGCCGCGGGCTGGGGTGAGCGTTCTCCCCAGCGGAGGGGGCGCGCTCTCTGCCCCTCTGGCTGCGGGTTGCTTCCGCCGGAGACCGGAGTGCGAGCACACTGCAGGCCCCTCTTGTCCACGGCTACACCTTCCGCGGTCTCCTCACCCAGGGCCAGCCACAGCCTGAAAATACCGATGGGAAATTCCAGAAACAAACCCTTCCTAAGTTTGACAGGCCCGCCGCTCAGAGGAGCGGGGAAGCCTGTCTCCACCGTCACACGGCCCCCCACCCGGGAGCCGCGTGGCTGCTGTGTGCTCCTCTGCGCGTGTCTCTGCTACCCACCAGTTAGTCGCTCTGTGGCCGTCTCGGGTATCGCGTCAGCTGCCATAGCTCGGGTGCTTGCATTCCGTGGACCCTCATTTTACTTAGTAATGGCCCTAAAGTGAGGACTAGTAATGCTGGCCCCTGATAAGTCACAAGGCAGCCCCTCCCCCAGTGGGAGATTTAAGCTTTTATTAAGGAGTTAATAAAAACTCCTTCCTCTTCACCTGCTCCCCTCCAGTTCCCCTCAACAAAAGCCAACCTCACCGTCATCCGCCTTGGCAGAACCAGACGTTCAACTCTGACAAATGACACCCCCTGCTCGGGCTGTTCTGGCCCAGGAACACCCTCTGCTCCTGCTGTTCTGACCCAGGAACACCCTCTGCTCGGGCTGTTCTGGCCCACTGACACCCCCTCCCGGAAAATGTTCTGGCCCTCAGACACCCTCCCCAAAAAGGACAGCTTAAAAACCCCACGCTTTGCTCAGCTCCGGGCTGTCCTAGTCCGCTGGGCAGCCCGCCGTGCCCCTCCCCCCAATAAAGACTCCTCTTGCGTGGAAAGGTCTGGTCTGGTTCTGTGTGGGTCTTGGCCCGATCCTATCAGCGCCTTGGCTCTGCCAAAGGGAAGCTGTGAAGTGCCCCGTGAAGTGGAGAAGTGGAGGTCCACTGTGGGTGTGTAGGAGAAGACGTATGTATGGGTTTCGGTGCTGTCTGTGGTTTCCTTGGAGTCTTGGGCTGTCTCTCTCACACAAGAGGAGGCACCACGGTAGGTGCATCTCCCCTCGCCTGGAGGAAGGCGCAGTCCTGGTGCTGGGACCTGTGGCAAGGGTACAGTGTGGAGGGGTCTGGGGAGGTCCAGAGAGCCAGATCCCGTGGGTGCTGGGTGCTGGGGCTTGGGTGGAGCTTGGATCCCAGCGTGTGGTCTGGGGGAGCCTGTGTGACTCCTGAGAAGCTGCCAGGGTGTTAGGACTGTCTCCGATAGCCTGGCCAGCAGCAAGGAGAGCCTGAGAGCTGCCCAGACCTCTGCTTTTCCAGGGACCTGCTGCGGTCAGACCTCCCTCCTGGGACCCAGCCCCGCCAGCCCCCACTCCCCACCCCTGCCGTGTCTCTGCCTGGACAGCTGTTCCCGGGAGAGGTCCTTAGGACACGGGGCACGTGGGAAGGCCGCTGGTGGTTCTCAGGAAGTGGGAGAGGGGGTCGCGGGAAGGTGAGGGCCAGGTACAGAGGCAGGGCAGTGTGGGTGGCTGTGGCGGCTGCCCTTGGCCAGCCCGTTCACCCGACCTCAGTGCTTCCCCATCTCTGCTCCATCGGCTTCGCCTGGGGCCTGGGCCAGCCCTTGGCCATGGGGCTGATCACCCTTGCACACTGCACCTGAGAAGTGGGGAGCTCCTGAAGCCCTTACCGGGGAGGCGGCTGGGCAGGAGAGAGGCCCCATGACTGTCACACAGTCAGACCCCATGCCCTCCCCGAGGGGGTTGCAGCCCCCCCAAATACTTCCTCCAATACCACATCCATGGTCACCTGTCCTCAGAGCTGGAGACCAGGCATCATCTCTGTCCCACTGTCCCTGCCCTCCAACGCTGTGACACCTCTCCTTCCTGCCACAGGAACTGGTTCTGACTCCTGACACTGCCACAGCCCCCCTGGCTGTCCCTTGTCCCCTCCTTTCTGGCCAGAGCGGCCCTGGCTGACGTGCACGTGGGCCCCACCCTGCTGTGGAGCACGAGGCCGTGTCTGGTCACAGCCTCTCGATGCTGCAGGCCCAGGGAGACCGGGACCCTGGTCCGTGGTTCCCCGGAACCCACCTAAGACAGGCCGGGCCTTGGAAAACGGGATGGTGGAGGAGACGGAAGGTGCAGATGGCGGCTCTGCTTCTGCACTTAACCAACTGCCGACTGAAAATACGGGGGCAGGGGCCTGTGTCTGCGCCGGGCATGTGCAGATTACACTGCACAGTGCAGCACCACGACTCCTTACACAGCACTTGTTTTGTGTGAGCGATAAGTGAGCCAGAGGTGATTTAAAGCACGTGAGAGGGTGGATTCTGTGCACGTGCTGGGTCACTTTATGGAAAGGTGAATACATGCTGTATTCACTTTATGAATAACCTGGGACTCTGTGGGTACCGGCGATGACCCGCATCTTGTCACTCAAAGCCTCAGCGAGGGGTTGATTCTGTGGGTGCCTGAACTCTCACCTACCCCTTCAACTTCTTGGGGCGCCCCACATCCAGCATCGACGCCTGCAGTGTGCAGCACACGGTCACTGTTTTCAAAGCCCTCCTGCCGGGGGTGCCCCTCACACTAAGGCAGCTCCTCCTGCCTGGGGCCAAATTCTCCAGTCCTCCCCTCTGCCCTCACTTGGGGCATTACCCTGAAGCCGAAAGCTAGGAACCGGACCAATCGTTTCCACTGGGGATGGAGAACTTGAGCGCCTTCTGCTTTCCTGGAACGGGTGAGGAGCAAAGCAAGGCAGGAACAAATCAATATTTCAGTGAATTATCCTGCTGCAGTGCGAGGTCACTTTGGTGGCCAAGAGGGCCCGAGACCCTGGGTGACCCTGGGAGCATCTGGAGGATGCTGTGGACTGACAGCCATGCCAGGCTGGCGTGTGCGGGAGGGAGGCTTCACTCCAGGGTTCTGGAGGTGACCCGGGAGGGGCACTTCCCTCCAAGCCGGCCTTCCCATTAAGTACATATCTTTGTGGAATGTAGGTTTGATGAGCGCCTGAGACATCCAGTCTCGCGCCCCCAGGCCTTTGCTCGGGCATGCCGACCACAGGCTGGCACTCAGTGGACACCACCCCGTCCAGCCGTGCCTTGCTTCTTGGTCTGCCCCAGTCCTCACCACTCCTTATCACCCCCACTTTCTTTGTATCATTGTCAGGAAATATCCCTCTATACCCCTGTGACCCCTGTGACCCTCGACCTGTCCCTCTGTGACCCACAGACCTGCTGCTCTGACTCACATCCGGTCACGCCCATCCAGGACACTCAGGTCGCACTGTTCTTCCGGCGCCCCTGGAGAGGAGACTCTCTGCACAGCCTCGACCTGCTTCAGCCTGTGGCTCGGTGCCCTGTGTGGCGTCCTTGCTCTTCTCTGGCTCTGATATCACGGTGTCTCTATGGCTGGACCCTTGAATCCTCTCCAGAGCCTTGGCCAGAGCTCCTCTCCCCGTGTAGGACATGCCAGTCGGCCCTGGAGCCAGTCACTATCGTTCATCTGACAGCCATGCCCTTCATGGGTGCCTTCGTGCCCCCCACCCAGGATCCTCCTGGCTGCAAGTGACAGTAACACAACTCAGAACTGGCCTTCATAACAAGAGGGATTTCCTGACGCATAAAGGAGACATCTCTGGGGCAGCAGGCTCCAAGCCAGTCTCCAGGGACCCAGTGCCTCAGAGTTCACACCGTGGTGCGGTACTCACTTCTGACTGGGTTGACTGAGATTGGGTTATAAAAAGACTGTGGCTGCTGTCTGAGGCACGCACTCCTTGTCAGTCATACCAAAACAGCAAGCCGCCGTGTATGAGCTGCCCCGTGGGAAGGGCTGCCTGGCGTGGTGAGGAGCCCTCGTCCAATAGTCAGCAAGGACTGTATAACTGAGCAAGTGTGGGAGCTGCCCCTCCCCCAGTGGGGCTTTCTGATGGGACCACGGCTGCATTCTCAGGCAAGCTGTCTGAGACCTGGAGCTGGAAGAACACAGCTAAGTTGCTTTTGGATCCTTGACCCACAGAAACTGAGGTAATAAATGCTTGGCTTTTAAGAGCATTACATTTTGGGGCAATGTTTATGTAACAAAAGGTAATACCTATGGTAGGCAGGCTGCAGGCCCGGGCGAACCCAGGTGCTTGTTTGAGAGCATCAGGAATCTTCTCTCCACTTGGGGTCCTCCCTGCTCTGTGGAGGCCCCCTCCTCATCAGGAGTCTCCTCTGTGGTGCCAGGGCCACGTCTTATCCTCAGTGACTCCTTGGCCTTCTCGGCTGAGTGTTCACCCTGAACTGTCACAGTGGCCAGGAAGATGCAGTGCTAGGGTTGGCCGGGCCTGGGACTTCCCACGCCAAAGCCCGGAAGCCAGCAGATTAAGGAAGGGATGTCTTCCCAACGCGAGACTGGGTGAAGAGGGCAGGCAAGAGTACACACAGCCCACAGAGCATCAGGACAGCCCAGACTCAAACTGTGTGTCTCACTAAAGGAACTTGGAACTCCAGGAGCAAACACGGTCCCAACATTTGGGCTGGGCGAGACCATCCTGCGCTGACCCTTTCATTTGGACCTGGACTGACAGTCTTAAGCTCAGGATCACACAACCAACCACATGGGCCACTCTAGGACCCAGTCAGGCTCGCTCTGTGGATCGCCCATGGTGCACCTGATGCTCACACCCTGTCGACACGGGGAAGGACATCCGTTGAGTCACTCCTTCTTCAGAGCTGCGAGCTCCCAAGGGTTCCTGGAGGTAGACACCAGCTGGCAGGGTCTCAGGGAACAAGTTGTGGGGATCTGGCTTGGATCTAATGCAGATATCTGCTCCTGTCCTCTGCTGTCAGCCAGGATGGCCTAAGTTAGGCTGCAGAAACAACAAAGTTCCCAGCGGCTTTAAACAGTAAAGATGTATTTCCTGCTCATGCTGTACTTGTGAGTTAGCGTGGGGTGCTGATCGCGTTGTCACTTGGGCTGGAATGACAGAGCCACGCAATCTTGATGTTCCTGGATCATGACCCGAGAAGAAAGATGTCTGAAGGGTCTCCACAGACAATGAACACCCCAGCCACCGAGACTTGTGCCGCTTTTGCTTACAGCTCTTTGGCCAGAGATGCTGATGCTCCTTCCTGTCACAAGGGGGCAGGAGTGCACCTTCCCAGCCTCCTCCCGCCTCCCCTGAGCTGTCACCCTCTGTGTCAGACAAGTCCCAGTTACAAGTCTCTGGCTTGTGCCTTACTTCATTAGGACTCACTGCCATCCTGCTATAGTGAGTAATCTCATTTCCCAGGAGCAGGAGACGGAGTCTTCACAGTTGCTCTCTGATTAGAACTTGGGAACTGGTCTGGCATCGTGTGAGTCCCGGGTAGCACAGGGGACCCGGCAATGTCTTGTCTTCTTTGGCCTTGATTAGCTTCTGTGGTTTCATTCTGGAGTTCCCTGGCTCACTAACTGTTCCCAGCCTCTACCCTTTGCTACTTATACCTACAAAGGGAAGTTTGTGGCTGTACAGTCGCTCCTCTGTGTTGAGGGGGACTGGCTCCAGGACCCTCAGGGTGCCCAAATCCTTGGATGCCCAAGTCCCATATATAAAATGTTCTGGTATTTGCATATAGTGTAGGCAGTCACTGTGGTTTACATCATCTGTACATGACTTATGGAGCCTGATACGTGTAAATTTTCTGCAAGTTTCTATCCTGTTGTCTTTTTGTGCTAGAATCAAACTCAGGACCTTGTGCTTGCTAGGCAGATGCTGTGCCACTGAGCTATATGCCCACCTATGCTATACTATTTAGAGAGTAACAAGAAACAAGTCTGTGTGCGGTCAGTACAGAGGCAGTGTTTTCTCAGACATGTTCAGGCAGAGGTTGGCTGACTCTGGCTTAGACGGGAGGAGCTGTGCTCTGTGGATCCATTTGTGCGAGAGGAGCAGCAGAATGCCTGCTTACGTACATGTCCAGAATGTGCATCTCTTTCTGGACAAGTGTATCCTGAAAGAGGAAAAATGTGCCAGGGCTCCTGGGAGGTCTCTCAGCTCTGTGGAAGGGAATTCCCTCAGAGGCGGGAGTACACAGGGAGAGCAAAAACCAGCACGCCTGCTCTGAGGGTCTTGGGAGGGACAGCGTGTGCTGCTCACAGAACCCTGGCTTCGTGATGAGTCCTGTGCATCTTGTTGGGGGAGGCAGTTTAGGGCAGTGGCTGAACGCAGAGTTTGGCTTTAGCTCTGCTGGGTTCAAACCTGATCTCGTCCATTTACCAGGTGCATGCTTTGGGGAAGCAATTTCTCGGGGCCGCTGGGTGGTGCGTGCCAATGCCAAGTGTGGAGGGTGCCCAGGACGGTCAGCCACTGCCAGCCTTGGCTACCAAGTGCGCGTCAGGATACAAATGCGGTGTGCTCATTACCAGTGGCTTCCCGTGCATAGTTCCTGTGCAAACATTCTGCTGTTGCTCCTGTTCATACAACTCCTCTGCAGCAGCTGCATTCTCCTCTCCTCGATGTTGTTCTGTCAGCACCGTCTAATGGGAAAATGCAAGGCTATCTCCCCTCCCTCTGAGGGTGCACACCCTCTTGGGATTTCCATCCTCCTGCCCTGGACCCCTGAACTCTTTGGGTGAGACCCACAGGTATTCGCCTGCTGTCCAGAGCTTGCACGGGATAAGCTCCTAGTAGAATGCAGGAACTCCTGGAAATGGGGTGGGCAAATGGATTAAAGTGGGGAGGCCTCAGGTGATCCCAGAACTTTGCTTCCGCGTCTCCCCTGCAAACTGTGCAGTAACTTTGTATGGAGACTCCTGCAGGGGAGTGTCTCCAGGGAGCCTCCTCCTCTGTTCAGAATGGAGCTGAGTGGAAGGGTCCAAGAGTGCCGAGAAGGGGCTTGGCGTCACTTGGACCAGAGCCCCAGCATCCGCACAACAGCCAGCCCACTCCCACATAGTTGGCACAGCGCCATCCCTCTCTCCCGTCATGCCCCTGCAGTCCACGAGCCTCATCGAGATCGGGAACCCCTCCCAGAGCCTGGAGAACGTCTGCCGCTGGGCCTACCTGCAGCAGAAGCCGGACACAGGCCACGACGAGTACCACGACCACGCTATCTTCCTCACACGGCAGGACTTTGGGCCCTCAGGCATGCAAGGTAAGCCCCACTGTGCAGGTGTGGGTAGGAGACAAGCTGGGCTGCATGGCCGTGCTGAGGAGTGTCCGGGCAGGGGTGGCTGTGGCCACTTTGGCTGGGTGAGGGTTTTAGTCATTGCTGATGATCTCCTGGCTCTGGGAAGCCACTAAGACATCAACCTAAGAAACTGCATTCCCCGAGGGGCCGGAGGAGATCAGAACTGACCAGAGAGACAGGGACTGGACCCAGAAGCCCAAAGACTAGACAGGTCTGAGAGTGGATTTCAGAGTCATTTGCTTTCCCTGGTTTCTAAAAACAAATCTGAATCAGTTGCCAGCCTTTAAAAACTTAGAGATTTTTCACATAAAGATTCAAACTGCATAAATGAAAGAGAGAGAGAGAGAACATTATACTAAACCAGCAGAGAATATGCACTGTTTATGATGCATGTGAGAATATACCAAGAGAGACTGTTGGACTCTAAGGAAATCCCAACAAAATGTAAAAGATCAGACTCCAGCAGAGTGTATTCCCTGACCACACTAGAAAAGAAATCCTAAGTGTTTGGAAATTAAGCAGTACACTTATAAATAATCCATGGGCCAAGCAAGAGATAACAGTAGAAATTAGACTATATTTTTAATTGAATAGTAATGATGATATAACATATCAAACTCATAGATAAGCTAATGAAATGATTAGATTGATATAGCTTTTAATACATTTATTAGGAAAAATGACTGAAAATAAATTGTATGCATATATCTCAAAAATTTGACAAAGAGCATCAAATTAAATCCAACAGAAGTAGGAGGAAGGATATTATAAACATAAAAGCAGAATTATTGAAATAGAAAACAATTTTAATAGAGAAAACCAATAGAACCAAGTTTTGATTCTTTGAAAAACACAGTTTGAAACTGAAAAACCCCTAGAAATGCAAGTTTTAAGAAAGAAAGTAGAAATCACTACACACCCTACAAACTTTTAAAAGAGAGTAAGAAGGTAGTTTGAACAACTTTATGCCAGTAAATGTATCCATTTAGATGGAAGCTTCAAATCTTTGAAAAAACATAAAATCTGAGGAAAACAGTAGTGTCATATCTATTAAAGAAATTAAATTTGCAATTAAAAGCCTACTTTCATTTTTTTTTTTTTTTTAATACCAGGAACCAAACTCAGGACCTTGCATTGCCAAGCAAGGCACTGTGCTGCTGAGCTGTATCCCTGGCCATATTAAAAGACTACTTTAAACTTCAGGAGTTAATAGCTTTCCCAGATAATTCTTTGCAATGTTTAAGGAATAATAACACCAATCACACACAAACGTGTAGAGAATGAAAATGAACAGTTTCCAACTAATTTTATGAGATCTGCCTAAGCTTGAGAGCAAAATTAAAGAAGGAAATTACAAGAAAAAACCATAAAGGCCAATATCACAAATATAAATACAAATTCTCAAACAAAATATTAGCAAATCTAATCTGGAGCTAGATTTTTTCAAAGGTGCTATATCATAATGAATTTAAGTTTATTCTAGGAATGCAAGGTTGGTTTGATATTTGAATCATTGTAATTCATCACATTAACAGAATAAGGGCGAATACTATATGATCACTTCAGCTCATCCTGAGAAAGATTTTGACAGAAGTCAAGGTCCATATACAAATAAGTATTCTATGGAACTAGAGATAGAAAAAAACTATCAAATATGGCAAAGGATAGTTATGAAGAGCCCACAGCAGGCACCATGTATAAGGGTAAAGTGTTGAAAGCATTTCTTCTAGAGTGAGAAGGGGTTGAAACCACCTGCTGAAACCGCTTCTATTCAGCACTATAGTGGAGGTCCTAGTCAGTGAAATACAGCAAGAAAAGGAAATACAAATATAAGGATCACATAGGAAAAAAAAAAAAAAAAACCTCATTTGAAGATGGTACATTTGCATACACAGAAAATCCTGGAGAATCTATGAATGGATTATGAGAATTATTAATTAATGTGAGCGTGGTTGCTAGACATGTTGATTACAAAAATGAAGTGAATTTCTGTATTTTAATAACAAATGAAAAGTTAAAAAAATTTTAACTAGTACAATTTACTGTAGAATTTTAAAAAGTACCCAGGAATAAGTTTAACAAAATATACCGAAGATCTAGATCAGAAAACTGTAAAACTTTTTTGATATAGATTGTAAAAGATAAAGGAAGGGATCCACTCTAGTGTCTTCTAACACAAGTTTAGTTCCAGCAGGATATTTTGGGGATAGTAGAGCCAAATTGATTCTAATATTTATGTAGAAATGCAACAAGCTAGGAATAACCAAGAGTAAGAGTGAAATCTTTGAAATTTATAAAAATACAAAAGAGTACAATTTTGATGTGAGGATTGGGACACATTAGAACAGAATACAGGGTTGAGAATTGAGCCTGTGCCTGTTTGCACACTTGGTTTATTTCACAGGTGACACTTCAGAGTGAAGGGCAAAGATATTCTTTTTTGGGGGGGGCGGTTTCTGGTACCAGGAATTGAACTCATGACCTTGCGCTTGCCAGGCAGGTGCTGTGCCACTGAGCTAAATCCCCATCCCCAAAGATAATCTTTTAAAGAAATGGTAGCATCAATTAAATATCCAAACTGGGAAACGAAATGAAGCGTGACATCCTACTTCACGCTTTAGACAGACATCATCTCATGAGAATTTCAGACCTAAATGTGAAGGGTGAATTAAAACTTATAGAAAATAATACAGGTTGAGTATAAATAATCTGAGAATCCAAACTTGAAACTTTCTGCATCTTGATCTGATACAACAAGTAGAAAATTGTACAGGGAACCTCCTGGGAGGGGTTGCAGTCGGGATTCAAGTGCAGGGGAGCCACCCTGTGAAATGACCTCCAGGCAGTGTGCGCAGTGCATATGGAACACAGGTGCATTTCACGTTTTGCCCCGGGTCTTATCCCCAAGGTGTCTCATTATGTATATGAAAATATGCAAAACCTTGAAAAACCTGGAAGCCAAAACTTCTGGGCCCAAAAATTTTGGACAAGGTGTAATCTATCTGTGTAGGAGAATATCTCTACATCTTTGGAATAAGAGACGTTTTCTTTAAAAAGAAATGAAAAGCAGGGGCTGGGGATTTAGCTCAGTGGCAAAGTGCCTGCCTGGCAAGCACAAGGTCGTGAGTTCAATTCCTAGTACCGGAAGAAAAAACAAAACAAAACAACAAAAAAAAAATAAGCTTAAAAAAAAAAAAAAAAAAATGAAAAGCACTAATTCACTGGAAAAGATTGGTAGTGCCATATTCATATTAAAAACTGTTCGTTGGAGGCACTATTAATCCATGGAAGTTACATTCATGATACATATAACTAGAGACTTGTGTGAAGCACTCCTATAAATCGGTAGTAATAATAAAAAAGAATCAATCCAGTAGAACAATGAACAAGGGACTTCGTTAGGCCATAAATGAAACGTGAGTGACAGATCAGTACAGTGGTGTCCAACCTCAGAGGTGTCAGAGAAACACAGTTATACCAGGGACGCCTGAGAGGATGGCTGGGAGGGGGATCACTTGCCTGCAGCTCCTTTATCCTTGGGAGCAGGACTGCTGCAGGGGAGGGAAACCAGGACAGCTGTCATATAAAATGACCTCACCCTTTACTTTAACATGCAGAAGGACAGCCATGGATTACCAGACATTAAAGAACAAAAACCCTACAGCAAAGGGGCTGGGGATTTAGCTCAGTGGCATAAGCGCCTGTCTGGCAAGTACAAGGTCATGAGTTTGATCCCCGGTACTGCAAAAAAAAAAACAAAAAAAACCCTACAGCACAAAAAAAGAGGGACCAAGATGGAAAATAAACAAAAATCTTAAAAAGTGACTCCAGAGAAAGTAGAGCTAATTTAGAGGATGGAGAAGAGCATGTTATAAAGTAGTGTTCCCACAGGTGTGGAAAAGTACATCCACAAACCCAGAATAGGTTACTATGAACCACTGGAGAACAACAATATTTTTATGAAATTAAAGGCTATGATAGGCAAAATTAAAAGTTCAAAAGCTAACATTGAAATTTTTTTAGAAAAAGAAAACAAAAAGGCCATCTCTGAATTTAGAACAAAAGGACATGAAGATTAAAATTAGAAAAAAGTTAGAAGACATGGAGGCTCAATCCAGGAGGTAAAACATCTACCTAATAAGATTTCCAGAAAGTGAGAACAACTACAAAAAAGTAAAATAAACAAAGAGATTTTTTTTCAAATATGTTCTTTTTTCAACAGATAATAGCTGCACCCTTTTTTAAATCTTAGAGGCGGCTGCAGTACAAAGTATGGGCATGAAGGGCATTCACACTACTCATTTGCTGAAGGGCAGAGATCGGAAAGTTCTGCTCCGGCACACTGACTCAAAACAATGCCCTCCAAGCCTGCAGAGCGAACAGTAAAGATTCTCCTGTTTATTCCAAGAGGAGAGGGCAATGATTTGATTACTGTATCTTCACAGACAAGTCCAGAGCAACAAGCCCCAGGCCAGATGTCTCTCCATCCCTTCTTCTGTTTTCGTTTCTTTGCTCTGATGGAACTGCATAGAGATCTTGCAGGGGGCACGGCAGGCACGAGCCGGCTCAGGGCACAGAGCCAGGCTCTGCTCATGCCAGTTTCTGGGAAGGCACGTGGATAAGCATAAACCCCTCACAACACAGCTCTGCACACTACGCTCCGCTGAGCTGAGAACCAGAAAACCACGGGGCATGGGAGACACCCTCCCCAGGGGAGGTGGGCCGGGAGGGTGCGATGCCAGGCAAGTGTGGGGCCAGGGCAGGATGGCTCTGGAAGAGCGGGAGGTGTGGGACAGATGCTGGGGACCAGAAAGTCTCTGAAGATGGGAGAGACCAGCAGGCCGGGAGCTGCCGAGGGGGTGACTCCTATGGCCTGTAGATGGGACAGAGAGATCGACCCAGCCACAGTGTGGACTTTGACAGGCAGGTGGCTGGTGGTCTGGGCAGCCACAGGCTGGGTCTGCCATGCAGGGGGCTGTCTTCCGAGCCATCCCAGCAGGGGCAGCTCCTTAGCTTGGCGATGGACCCTGGAAAAGAGGCAGTCCCGGGCCTGCTCCTCCCCGCGCACACGGGGTCTGGGGCTGCCTCAGACAGAGCTTGGGCCTGGGACTCTCCGAGACACCTCTGTCCCCTCCCAGGCTATGCTCCTGTCACTGGGATGTGCCACCCCGTTCGCAGCTGTACCCTGAACCACGAAGACGGCTTCTCCTCAGCGTTTGTGGTGGCCCACGAGACTGGCCATGTGTAAGTGCCTGGCCGAGGGGGCGCGGAGAGGCTGTCCCTGGGTCCTCTGCCCCGCTGGGCCTGCCTGGCTGGGCGGGACAGCTGTACGTGAAAGCCACTCGCACATGACTCTGTCTGGCACTGCCCGGGCGAGCTGGAGGTCCACTTCCTCCTGAAGGATCCAGTCGAGGGCGGAGCAGGGAGGGCCAGGCAGCTGCTTGGGCCCAGGGAGGCGCGGGGTCCGTGAGCCATTGTCCTGCGCAAGCCAGGCTGTGGTGGTGGGGGTCCTCCCCAAGTTACAGGAGGCCCTGGGGCTCTCAGAGCAGCTGTCTGGGTTAGAAACTCACACTTCCGCCCACCGCATGCCCCTTGGTGCGGGCGGAGCCCCTGCACCTTGCAGCCAGGGCTGCTGGGCAGGGCAGGGGAGGGATGGGGGCTTGTGCTGCCCGGTGTGGAGAATGTCCGGATGCTGGGGGCTGGCAGATGCCACCGGCTCCTCGGGGTTTCCAAGACACAGTGGCTCCTCTTGGGGACAGGCCACCAGAGAGGCTGCCTGCTGAGGCCCCTCCCCAGGGTGCCGCTGGCTTTAAGAATCTGGTAGAAAATCGGTAGCAGCAGGTTCTGGGCGGATCAGGCCTGCTGAGGCTGGGGAGGTCAGCGCTGGGGGCGGGGTGCCCTCCACGCGGCCCCGTAGGCCGTGGCCCCGGCAGGCTGCTTTGCTCCCGCGCAGGCTGGGCATGGAGCACGACGGGCAGGGCAACCGCTGTGGGGACGAGGTGCGCCTGGGCAGCATCATGGCGCCGCTGGTGCAGGCTGCCTTCCACCGCTTCCACTGGTCCCGCTGCAGCCAGCAGGAGCTCAGCCGCTACCTGCAGTGAGTACCTCGCGGGGTCCCGCGGTGACCCCTCCGCAGGGCCCAGCTCTGGGGTCCTGCAGCCGCGGGCAGCGGAGGGAGCGGGTGCTCTGTGGGTCTTGCGGGGGCGCCCATGAGGGAGCGTGGCCTTGGGTGGCAGGGCACACAGCACTGTCCCGGGAGCTGCACAGCCGGCAAGCGCGCGGCGGGGACGCTGAGGCCGCCGCGGAGGGCTGACCGCGGCAGCCAGCCCGCCGGGGCCCCAGAGAGCGCCTCAGCTGAAGCCCCGCTAAAGGCCGCCGTGGCGCGGCGCCCACGTTTCCCGCAGCTCCTACGACTGCCTGCGGGACGACCCCTTCGCCCACGACTGGCCCGCGCTGCCCCAGCTCCCCGGGCTACACTATTCCATGAACGAGCAGTGCCGCTTCGACTTCGGCCTGGGCTACATGATGTGCACCGCGGTGAGTGGGCGGGACCGGGCAGGCCCGGCCCTGGGCAGGACACACGGGGGCAGACCTGGCCAGACGGCCGGTGAGGGACGAGGGAGCCTGGGGGGGTCGCTTCCGCCTGCAGAGTTCAGGGGGCGTCCCTGGGCAGGAGGGACGTGGCAAGGCTGGGCTGAGGACGGAGCAGTCAGAGGCGGGAGGCGGCGAGCACAGCCCAGAGGGGAGAGGACACAGCAGGCAGAGGAGCAGTGCCCAGAGGTCCCAGGGCTGAGTGCTGGGCAGAGGCAGCACCGGCAGCGCACACCCCAGCCGGAGGCAGTGGTCAGGAGTCGCTCACCTGTGTGTCCGGGAGAGTGAGGCCCCTCTCCAGGAGGAGCTGGTGGGAAGGTTGTCAGGCCAATCAGCAGAAAGGGGAGGCAGAGGGAGGGGACAGAGGTGGAGCTGGGACCAGAAGGACCTGTAGGACCAGAGGCCAGGGCCTCACTGGGGCCGGGCGGTGGTCTCCACGGCAGGGAGGCAGCAGTGCCCACTTGGCCCGGCGGTGACCACCCCTCAGCGCCAGCACACCCACTTCCTGTCCAGGTGCTCGAGCTCCCATCCGCCTGTCCAGGCCCCCCGAGGCCCGCAGCCTCGGCCTCCAGGACTGTACCTGAGCTGTGTGCACACGGTCCAGAATTTTGGGTCACACAGAACCACACCCCCCACGGGCCACACAGACCCAGCACGGGGCCCAGGACAGGGCGGGCGCCCAGGTGGTCCCTGCCGTGGGAGGCGACCTGGTGAGCTGCTGGTGCTGTCTTCCAGTTCCGGACCTTTGACCCCTGCAAACAGCTGTGGTGCAGCCACCCCGACAACCCCTACTTCTGCAAGACTAAGAAGGGGCCCCCCCTGGACGGGACTATGTGTGCACCTGGCAAGGTGAGTCGGGAAGACAGTGGGCAGAGCAGACCACCCGGAGCCCCGGTGGCCAGGGGCAGGACCTGCGGTGCCCACACAGGGCCCGGGGCCCCCAGCCTCCATCTCGCTGCCCATCCAGTTACTCCCCACGCTGGACAGTCCAGCACTTCCTCCACTTGTGCAGCTAACGAGGGCTCTCCCTGAGACCAAGCCCTGCGTGTGCTGGTGACTGGGTCACCTCACCCAGAGGACAGCACTGGGGTGCCAGGCCCAAGGTGAGGTTTAGCTTCTCCGCCCCAGGACCTCTGTGTTGGCCCCTTGTGAGGCACACTGGTTCCTGGAGGTCACTAGATGGTCACCCGACAGCACTGCCCACCCCAGAGCAGGCCTGCAGAGGGAGGAGCTCTGCCTGTTGTCCCTCCAGCCAAAGCCCAGCTGCTCCTCATTGGTTCTCACTTCTGTCCCACCGAAGCCACACTGGCCACCAGGGGGCGCCGTGGGGTCAGAGCGGCCATCAACACAGACTTAAACTTTAAGCTCCACAATGCCAGGGGTAAAAGACCTCACCTCACCCGGCCTGGGGTTCCTCCGTGCAAACTTCCCTCTAGGCGTTGGTCAGCTGGCTGACTTCAGGTCTCAATGGACCTTCTTAAAATTGTAGAGTCCTGGGCCCACCCATGGAGGCTGGTTTGGTTGAAGGCCCCAGAATTAGCCCTTTGTTTTATTTTGTTTCTTCTGTTTTACATCATGGTAAAGTTCACCTAAGATAGAATTAGCTATTTTAACTCACGCTGAAATGCACAGTTCAGTGGCATTGGCTACGTTCACAGTGGGGCAGCCATCACCACCACCTACTTTCTGTACTTGTTATCCCTCCCGAAAGACACCCGAATAATCAGCCACTCCTTCCCCTCCTTTCTGCAGCCCTTTGCAGCTACCCATCTGCTTCCTGTGAAGTGGCCTGTCTGGAATTTCATATAAGTGGGATCACATGACACATGACCTTTCATGTCTGACATTTCACTCAACCTATGAAATATGTTCAAGAATCATCTATGTTATAGCACACATCAGTGCTTCGTTCTTTTTCATGGCTGAATAATATGCCCTTGTGTGACTGTATCACATTTCGTTTATCCACTCATCCTTGGAGAGTCTGGATTTTCCTACTTTTGGGCAGTTGTGGGCAGTTCTGCTGTGAATATTCTTGCTCATTTAGCCCAGTAAATAAAATGGCTACTTTATATTTTTAAGAAATAGTTGTACTGAGTAAAGAGCACATCTGGAGCTCAGTTCATCCTCTCCTAGTTCACAAGAAGCCCAGGCTGAAAATCACCCCAAATCAGTAATTCTGGTATCTCCCTAGATCAGTGATTCTGGTATCACCCTAGATCAGTGATTCTGGTATCTCCCTAGATCAGTGATTCTGGTATCTCCCTAGATCAGTGATTCTGGTATCTCCCTAGATCAGTGATTGTGGTATCTCCCTAGATCAGTGATTCTGGTATTGCCCTAGATCAGTGATTCTGGTATTGCCCTACATCAGTGATTCTAATACTGACCTAGATCAGTGATTCTGGTATCAAGAGAGCAGAGAAGGTACATGTGCCTGGTGCTTGTCCACCTCTCCTTCTGTATGAACTTGTGTATTCTGATGTCTTTTGTTGCAGTGTCATTAATATTTGGAAAGTGTCTTAGTCTGCTGCTTGCTGCTGTAACAAAATGTTACAGACTGGCAATATTTAAAAGCAGTCATTTATTGTCTCATCATTTTGGAGGCTGAGAAGTCCAAGATCAAAGTTCCAACACCTGTTTGAAGGTGAGAGGGCAAGAGAGAGAGAAAGCAGAGGGTGGAGAGCTTGTCTCTTATGAGGAACCCATTTTGTGATGAAGGCATTAACGCGCACACAGACAGAGCTCCCATGGCAGCACTGCCTCTTGAGGTTCCCACCGGCCTACATTTTGGAAATTAAATTTTCAATTTAAACTGCACCCTTTTGCCTTGTACTCCCACAGTTATGTCCTTCTCACTTGTAAAATGCGTTCACTCCCTCCTGACAGTCCCAGTGATCCAGCTATCCAGCATGGACTCAAAAGGCCAGGTTCAGAGTCTCATCTACATCAGACACGGAGGAGTTGCAAGGCCCATCCCCCCGAGGCAGTTCCCTCGGGCGGAGTGACCTCAGCACCTCCTACAGGTGCTGCCCCCCAAGGCCTCTGCGCTGGGATCCATTTTCTCACACATGGGCTTTCAGGGACCACCCAGGACCACAGGAGAGAGCACTCGTTCCTTAACACCACCTCTTGGCAAGGGGAGGCAAGGAGGCAAGGAGAGAAGGGAAAGAGGAGGAAAGGCGCCAGGCCAGCATGGAAGCAGGTCGCCACATGGCGGGCTGCCAGTGCTCTGGCCACAACCAGACCCAGATGGAGCCGCTGCCTCCACCCTCGAGTGGGGTGGCCCCCGAGCATCTTTCCTGCGCCTTGGCCTCCATTTCATTATACCCCCACAATGTTGAGAATTCACCATTTTTGCAGAAAGAAAAGAAATCTATATTTATATACTGTGTAAGAGGTGAGCCCAAGAGAAGCTGCCATGAGCCACCCCAGCCTCCGCCGTGCAGAGGGCACACAGGCATGGTGGGACGGTGTGGGCAGGACCCCTGGGACCCGGAGCCCTGAGCTCGGGGAGATGAGCAGGAGCTCAGCATGCTGAAGACTGAGAGGCGCTCAGCTCGCGCTCAGCGGGCCCAGGGCTGGGAGGTGAGCGCTTTCCCCGGGACAAGGGTGCAGGCAATGGAGCAAGAGCCAGCCCAGGAGGTTCCCTGTCACCTCAGCTTGGAGAGGTGACAGGTCATGGCCTCATAAGGTGTCCTTATAAGGAGAGACATGGGGAGACAGTCTCTGTCACTCTTTTAGGAGGATATGACAAGATGGAAATTCCTCCCTCCCTCCCTCCCTCTCTTCTTTCCCTCCTCCTTCCTCCTCCCTTCATGTTGCTGTGAGTGCCATACCCACTCAGGATGCTTGACTTTGTGCCTTGCAGAGCAGGTGAAATATGTGTAAGCATTTACATATATGTTTGTAGAGCATTTTAATCCCATCACACGTGTTCCTTTTATAATGTGTTAAATGCTCAGAACTGTCTAGAGAGAAATAAACCAGGGCACTGTGGGGTGACTAGTGCAGGGTGGAGTTATGGTAGTTTTCCTGCCTTTCTGTTTTGCTTTGTTTTCTGCTTCCTATTGCATCGGTCTGCTTCTATGATGGACCACCTAATTTTGTGAGGAAAACACTGTATTTAGCTTACAGTTCTGGAGGTCCCGGGCATGGCAACATCATCTCATGGTCGATGGCATTGCAATGGCAGGAACCCATGCAAGAGGGAGAGATCATGTCCTGAAACAGGAGGCCGAGAGCAGTTCGGAGGTTAGACATGTTCTCACCACAACCCACTCTTGTGAGAGTTTGGGGTTTCACACGAACTTCTTTAACCCCTTCCACGAGCAGCAATCCCAGGAGTTCCCCACCAGGCTGCACCTCTTGTAGGTCACCGTCTCAGTGCAGTGTACCAGGTACCAACCCCGACACATGAGCCTAGAGGACGAGCCCCATCCGAGCACAGCACCTACCATGTGCATGCCCTGCCCCATGCACACGATCCAAGCTGGTCCAGGACACGGTCCGTCACACTGCTGACCGCAGGGCCCCACATGGCTCTCCATTTCAAGCCTAGGGCTAGTTGGCCTAGCCGGGCCAGTGGGAGGCGGGAGCTGTGTGGCCTCTTCCTAGCCCATGGCTCCTCTGGCCACCAGAGACCTAGGATCTATGCCCCGGTCACACCCTTCACCGATGTGAAGTCATAGACATTCCAAGACAGCTTTCTCCCTGTCTCAGTCAGCGTGGGCTACTGTAACAAAAATACCCGAGATGAGGAGACTTGGACAGCAGAGATGTGCTCCCCCCGGTCTCAAGCTGGGGAGGTTCCGGGCCGGGCGCTGCATGGCGGTTCTGATGAGGACCACTGTCTGGTGTGCAGGTTGCCGTCTGCTTGTGTCCTCACTTTAGTGTCTGTCTTCTGAGAACACTAGTCCCACTCACAAGGGCCGTGACCTAGTTACCTCCCGAAGGCTCCCCTCCCCACAGCACCATCATGTCGGGGATTGAGTCTTCACCCTGTGAATCTGAGGGATACTAACATTCCGTCCTAGTGCCCTTACCTGGGCCCCGCTCCTCCGCCTCCTCACCTGTCACCCCCACGTTGCAGCACCAGCTGATAGGGACACCAGCCAGCATTCCCATGGGGGTCCCCTCCCCTCCCTGGCCAAAGGAGAGGCGCTTTTAGGGGAAGATGAGGTAACTGTGCCAGCAAAGAGGTGGCCTCGAGCTAGGCCTCCTCAACCCTAGTGGTTGACCATGATGTCGGCCGTGTGCCTGTTGGCCTAATCTGATGGTCATGGAGCGCATGACCAGGAGCTGAGTGCTGGGAGGGAGGGTGCAAAGGTTGGTGTCCCTGCAGCCCCCATGTGGCCCTGACTGGTACCAAGGCAGGCTGGGGAGCGTTTCCACGGCTGGTAAAGGTGAGAGGCACTTGTAGGAAGGCAGCAGAGAGGCAGCTCCCAAGCAGAGACGTGTACAACAGGAAGGAGGGAAGGAAGGAGGCAAGGAAGGACTTGCCTGAGCGATGAGGCCCGGCGCTGCGGGGAAGCAATTCAGGCATGGAAGCAGGTGTGCAGCTCCCCTGGAAACACCTTCCGACACAGAAACTGTCCGTGGAGTGCGTGCAGGGCCAATACGGGGGAGGAGTGAGGTGCTGAGCAAGGCTGTGGTCTCAGCAGAGGCGCAGGGACTTTTCTGTCCGACCTAACAGTCTCCTGACTATTAGGTCAACCTTCTGGCATATAAGTTAGTCTTAATTGGTCGTCCACAGCTTGACCAAAAGCAGCCCTGACTTGATCAGCTGTCTCACTAGGAACGCAGCAAGCTACCATCTCAGCCCAGTGTTCAGATTTTCTACACCTTAA